AGCTACTTGGGAGACTAAAGTGGGAAGATTGCTTTATCCTGGGAGGTCGAGGCTGCAATGAGCCTTGATCGAGCCACTGTACTCCAGCCTGGGTAACAGAGCGAGACCCTGTCTCCAAAAAAACCAAAATCAAAAAAGATGAATCAGGGAATGAAAAAGAATAAAAGAGGAATACATAAATAAAATATGTGTCACATTAAAATAATAGATGCGGCCGGGCGCGGTGGCTCAAGCCTGTAATCCCAGCACTTTGGGAGGCCGAGGTGGGTGGATCACCAAGTCAAGATATCGAGACCATCCTGGTCAACATGGTGAAACCCCATCTCTACTAAAGATACAAAAAATTAGCTGGGCATGATGGCGCGTGCCTGTAATCCCAGCTACTCAGGAGGCTGAGGCAGGAGAATTGCCTGAACCCAGGAGGCGGAGGTTGCGGTGAGCCGAGATCGCGCCATTGCACTCCAGCCTGGGTAACAAGAGTGAAACTCCGTCTCAAAAAAATAATAAAATAAAATAAAATAAAATAATAGATGCTGGGCACAGTGGCCCATATCTGTAATCTCAGCAGTTTGGGAGGCCTAGGTGGGAGGATGGCTTGACCCCCCAGGAGGCTACTCGGGAGGCTGAGATGAGAGAATCGCTTGAACTCGGGAGGTGGAGGTTGTCATGAGCCGACATTGCACCAAATACATGTGGAAGATACCACGGAAGCCTTGGATTCAGCTGTGCCTGGAGGATGCAGGGTTTCTGGTAATGAGCCCGTAAATGCCCTTGTTCGTCTTCACTAGTTCAGCTGGGTTCTCTTTTCTTTGCAATTGAAAGAGGCTTGCCAGCAAACGGAAACATCTTGATTCTATTTATTTATTTATTTATTTATTTATTTATTTTGAGACAGAGTTTCACTCTTATTACCCAGGCTGGAGTGCAATGGCGCGATCTCAGCTCACCGCAACCTCTGCCTCCTGGGTTCAGGCAATTCTCCTGCCTCAGCCTCCTGAGTATCTGGGATTACAGGCACGCGCCATCATGCCCAGCTAATTTTTGTATTTTTAGTAAAGACGGGGTTTCACCACATTGACTAGGATGGTCTCGATCTCTTGACCTCGTGATCCACCTGCTGTGGCCTCCCAAAGTGCTGGGACTACAGGTATGAGCCACTGCGCCCGGCCAACATCTTGATTCTTACTGCTGCCTCCCTTGGGGCTAGGACTGGAGCAGTGGTTCTGTCTCCCCGTGGTTACCCACTTGCTCTGCTAAAGGGACTGAGCAACCTCCACCCAGTGTCTAAGCTAATGGGGAGGACTTGAGATAGGACACAAGTTCTCTTCTGGCCAAAACTAAGACCCGTCTCCTGTCTCATCCCATGAGGAGGGACCCTCAGGAGATCACACAGCCCTAGAAAACATGAACGTATGACCACCTCTCTGGGCCCATGTTTCTTCCTCCGTGGAAGGGTGGGTTATTCAGACATCATAGCTGGGCATGGTGGCTCATGCCTGTGATTTCAGTGCTTTGGGAGGCCAAGGCTGGAGGATTTCTTGAGGCCAGGAGTTGGAGGGTGCAGTGAGCTATGATGGCGCCATTACACTTCAGCCTGGGTGATAGAGTGAGACCTCGACTCAAAAAATAATGATAACAGCCAGGCGCAGTGTCTTGTGCCTGTAATCCGAGCGCTTTGTGGGGGCTGAGGTGGGCAGATCACGCGAGGTCAGAAGTTTGAGAGCAGCTTGGCAACATGATGAAACCCTGTCTCTACTAAAAATAGAAATATTAAGCAGTCATGGTGGCAGGCACCTGTCATCCCAGCTACTCGGGAGGCCGAGGCAGGAGAATTGCTTAAACCCAGGAGGCAGAGGTTGCAGTGAGCCAAGATCACACCACTGAACTCCAGCCTGGGCAACAGAGCAAGACCCTGTCTCTAAAAATAATAATAATAACAAATACATTTTTTTAATATAGACAACCTTGGCTCATACCTGTAATCCCAGAACTTTAGGAGGCCAAGGCTGGTGAATCACCTGAGGTCAGCAGTTCGAGACCAGCCTGGCCAACATGGTAAAACTGTGTCTCTACTAAAAATAAACGAACAAACAAAAAATAGCCAGGTGTGGTGGCACACGCCTGTAGTCCCAGCTACTTGGGAGGCTGAGACAGGAGAATCTCTTGACTGAAAGGTGGAGGTTGCAGTGAGCCAAGATTGCGCCACTGCACTCCAGCTTGGGCAACAGAGTGAGACTCCGTCTCAAAAAAAGCTAGGCGTGGTGGCTCACTCCTGTAATCCCAGCACTTTGGGAGGCTGAGGTGGGCAGGTCAAGGAGTTTGAGACCAGCCTGGCCAATATGGTGAAACTCTGTCTCTACTAATAATACAAAAATTAGCCAGACGTGGTGGCGCGCACCTGCAGTCCCGGCTATTTGGGAGGCTGAGGCAGAAGAATCACTTGAACCCAGCAGGCAGAGGTGGCAGTGAGCCAAGATCGCACCACTGCACTCCAACCTGGGCAACGGAGTGAGACTCCATCTTAAAAAAAAAAATTGGACATCCTTTCTCTCCATTGTTCTCCTGACATGTTGGCCCCTTCTTCCCAGCCACCTGCAATACCTCATGGCCATCTCCCTACTATGGTTCGACCCCATGATCCCTTGTCGCAGGTGCTGTCCTTCCCCACAGGCCTCACCATGAGGGTGGCACACCTCACCTACATTCACATTTATGTCACTTGGGCCAGACCCTGCTCTAACCAAATTGCTGGGGAAATGAAGGCACCTCAGCGGCAACTCTCAACCAGTGACTGATGGGAGAGAACCAGGAGGTAAATCCCCAGCTCCCTCGCCCTCAGGTGGGATGACTGCGGTGTGTGTTCTACCCTCCTCCCAGCGTTCCCCTAGTGGAACTGAGCCCCAGCTGCGCACAGGGAAGTGGGCTTGATTCCTGGCATGGTCAGCTGTCCCGATTTGCCCAGCACAATCGGGTTTCCTGGGATGTCAGATTTTGAGCAATAAAATCGAAAAGTTCCAGACAAATTGATTACTCTCTTGACAACTCAATATTTCTTTTCTTTATATATATGTAGGTATACACACACACACACACACACACACACACATTTATTTATTTATTTTTTAAAGATGGGGTTTTTCACCACGATGGCCAGGCTGGTCTTGAACTCCTGACCTCAGGTGATCCACCCACCTTAGCCTCCCAAAGTGCTGGGATTACAGGTGTGAGCCACCGTGCCTGGCAAAATTAAATCTTTTCTTTATTTTTATTTTATTTATTTATTTAGACGGAGTCTCACTCTGTCGCCCAGGCCAGAGTACAGTGGTGCAATCTCAGCTCACTGCAACCTCCACCTCCTGGATTCAAGCTATTCTCGTGCCTCAGCTTCTGGAGTAGCTGGGACTACAGGCCCCCACCATCAGACCCAGCTAATTTTTGCATTTTTAGTATAGATGGGGTTTCACCGTGTTGGCCAGGCTTGTCTTGAACTCCTGGCCTCAGGTGATCCACCTGCCTCAGCCTCCCAAAGTGCTGCGATTAAAAGCGTGAGCTACTGTGCCCGGCCAACACCATATCTTTATTTTTATTTATTTATTTATTTTTGAGATGGGGACTCACTGTCCTCCAGGCTGGAGTGCAGTAGCATGTCATGCCCAGCTAACTTTTGTATTTTTAGTAGAGACAGGGTTTCACCATGTTGGCCAGGCTACCCTGAAACTCGTGACCTCATGTGATCCACCTGCCTCAGCCTCCCAAAGTGCTGTGATTATAGGCATGAGCCACAGAGCCCAGCCCAGGATAATTGTTTTAAAATGTATTTTTAGAGACAGGGTCTCACTATATTGCCCAGGCTGGTCTCAAATTTCTGGCCTCAAGAGATCCTCCTAGCCGGCGGTGATGTCTCACACCTGTAATCCCAGCACTTTGGGAGACTGAGGTGGGCGAATCCCTTGAGGTCAAGAGTTCGAGACCAGCCTGGCCAGCTTGGCAAAACCCTGTCTCTACTAAAAATTCAAAAGTTAGCTGGACGTGGTGGCACGAGCCTGCAATCCCAGCTACTCAGGAAGCTGGAGCAGGAGAATCATTTGAACCCAGGAGGTTGAGGTTGCAGTGAGCCAAGATTGCACCACTGCACTCCAGCCTGGGTGACAGTGAGAGCGAGACTCTGTCTCAAAAGAAAACAAAACAAACCCAGAAGAGATCCTCGTGTCTCCGCTTCCCGAAGCACTGGGATTGCAGATATGAGCCACAGTGCCAAGCCCATCAATCCCATTTTATTCGTAAGAAAGCTGAGGTCTGGGCAGGAAAAGGACCTGTCTGAAGCCGTCCTGTTTGTAAGTGGTGGATACGGGAGATCTGACCTCAGGTGGAGGCCAGCTTGTTACCTCCGTCCACGAGTGAGGAAGCCCTGGTGTATGCCAGGCACTGTTCCAAGGGCACGTTTCATATAATCCTTATTATCTCATAAATCCTTACAACACTGCGGGGGAGTGGGGGGTGAGTCAACCATTACCCCACTTGACAGAGAGGGAAACCAAGGCCCTGAGAGGTGGCACAGCCCAGGTTCAAACCGAGGCAGGCTGGCACCAAGCTCACACTCTTAACCACCAGGCTGATGCCTGGATATATGTAATTTCCTTCCAGGCAGCTGTGGCCATTTGCAGAGGGGGGTGTCTGGAGCGAGACCAGCCAGGAGAGGGGAGGTGGGTGCGGGGCAGCAGACCTCATCAGGAGCTCCCAGGCTGGCATCTGGGCTGCCAGGCTAAGCTCAGGCCTCCCTGATCCCTCGCTGCTGCCCACCCCTTCGTCTCGGAACTCTCCTGTGCCCCGAAGCTTCCCCCATCCCTCCATCCCCACCCCTACTCCTGCGGTCGTCCCAAATACCAGACAGGGCGAATCTCAGCTTTTCCCCAAACATTCCTTGTTCTTGTGGCCCGGCCCAGGCTGGCTGAGGTTACGAAAGCAGAGATGGGGTGGTTGTTGGGGGGGACCGAGGGGACGGGCTGGCCTGTCGTCACCACCCCATCCCAGGGCGGGGAAGGGGGTGGGCCAGCTCCTGCAAACCCCCGGGAGAACAGGCTGTTGTGGGGGGGTGGCCTGGGTCCGGAGATGGGGGGCAGTGGCGGCCACAGCAGAGACTCCAGGAGGTGACCGCCTGGTTTCCATTAGGGAGTCCTGGTCAGCAGCTTGGGCGAGACGGCAGAGTCTGGGCTGGCCATGGTAAGGTGGGGCGAGGGAGGGTCTGAGGGTGGGGCCTGCCTGCCCCCCTACCCCTACTCTGCCAACTGGCCACTGCCTCCCACCAAGACACTCCCCGAGGAGGGGATGCTCTGGTCACCATGGTGACCCTCCCTCCCCCGCAGTGGCCCAGCCTGCTGCTGCTCCTGCTGCTGCCCAGCCCTCTGCCCGTCTCTGGCATGGACGACGCTGACTTCCCCCACCTGGGGGAGAGCTCACAGCCCCTGAACCGGGCCTGTCCCTCGCGTTGCTCCTGCCCCCGAGCTGACACTGTGGACTGTGACGGCCTGGACCTTCGGGTTTTCCCGGACAACATCACCAGGGCCGCGCAGCACCTCTCCCTGCAGGTGGGGCCCAGGGAGGGGCATGGGGGCACACAGAGGTGAGGGGAGCTGGAGGGGCACCTTGGGCTGAGGAGCATGGTGGGGTAGAGGAGCCCACGTGCAAGAGGGCTGTGCAGAGCTGGGTGTGACGGAGCTTTTTCTTGGCAGGTTGGCTCTGGCAGAGCCCCAGGTGAGAGGGGTGGGCGTGGAGATGCAGGAAGTGGGTGGGGACTGAGGATGAGGGGGGTTAGGGTTAACATCTTGGCGGTTATGGCATTGTTTGGAGTCTCAGTGTGATGGGAGTTTGCAGCACGTGGGGTTGATGGTGAGGGTGATGGCACTTCTAGGGTCAATTGTGTGGGTGCTGGAGCATTTGGGGTCGATTGTGGGAGTGTTGGGGCATTTGGGGTCGATTGTGGGGGTGATGGCACATTTGGCATTGATTGTGGGGGTGTTGGGGCCAGTGGGGTCAATTGTGGGGGCTTGGGGGTTGACAGCTTGGCAGTTACAAGACTGGGTCAGGGTGATGGGGTGTTTCGGAACAACTGTGGGGTGATGGCATGGGGCTTGTTTGAGCTGACAGGGAGTTGAGAATCAGTGCTTGGGGTCACTTGGTCACGGGGTCACGGGTGTGAGCACCCCAACTCCCGCCCTGCAGAACAACCAGCTCCAGGAGCTCCCCTACAATGAGCTGTCCCGCCTCAGCGGCCTGCGAACCCTCAACCTCCACAACAACCTCATCTCCTCGGAAGGTGAGAGGGCAGAGGTTGGTGGCCCCTCTGGGGCTGTGGGACCGACAGACTCAGGTCTCCACCGCCATCCCCTTCCCCCACCCCATCTGCGGGCAGCTCTGTGGCACTTCCCAGAACTGCCCTTTGCTGAGCAGGATGGAAACTCAGGGGCTGGGGTGGGGGTTGGGGGCTGTGGCTTTTGAGTAGGGATGGAGGGAGGGGATCTGAGGGCCTGGGGAGCTTCTGTCAGTTCCCGGCCCAGAGTTGTGGGGCAGCCAGTTGGGAGCCCAGACTCCCCTTCCACCCAAGACCAGGCGCGGGGGGGGGGAGTTCCTTCACTGCCCCTACTCCCCCAGGCCTGCCCGACGAGGCCTTCGAGTCCCTCACCCAGCTGCAGCACATCTACGTGGCCCAGAACAAGGTGAGTCCCCAGCCCCACCTGCAGGCGGAGACCAGCTGGGCGGGTGCAGCTTCGGTCACAAGCCCAGAGCTGGGAGCGGACTGCTCTCTGGGGCCCGGGCGGGGCCTGGGTGCACCAGGACCAGTGCAGCTGTGGGCTGTGTCCCCGCAGCTCTCGGTGGCTCCGCAGTTTCTGCCCCGGTCCCTCCGCGTCGCGGATCTGGCTGCCAACCAAGTGATGGAGATCTTTCCCCTTACCTTTGGGGAGAAGCCAGCGCTCAGGTAGCCCCTGGCCCAGCTCAGGCCCCCAAACCTCAGATATGTCTGGGTCACTCCTGGTTCTAGAAGCAATGAGGGAGTTAAGGGCACAGTGGCTCACACTTGTAATCCCAGCACTTTGGGAGGCCGAGGTGGGCGGATCATCTGGGGTCAGGAGTTCGAGAGCAGCCTGGCCAACAAGATGAAAACCCCTCTCTACTTAAAATACAAAAATTAGCCAGGCATGGTGGCACATGCCTGTAATCCCAGTCACTCAGGATTGGCTGAGGCAGGAGAATTACTTGAATCCAGGAGGTGGAGGTTGCAGTGAGCTGAGATTGGGCCACTGCACTCCAGCCTGGAGACGGAGTGAGACTGTCTAAAAACAAAACAAGGGCCGGGTGCGGTGGCTCACGCCTGTAATCCCAGCACTTTGGGAGGCCGAGGCGGGTGGATCACGAGGTCAAGAGATCGAGACCATCCTGGTCAACATGGTGAAACCCCGTCTCTACTAAAAATACAAAAAATTAGCTGGGCATGGTGGCGCGTGCCTGTAATCCCAGCTACTCAGGAGGCTGAGGCAGGAGAATTGCCTGAACCCAGGAGGCGGAGGTTGTGGTGAGCCGAGATCGCGCCATTGCACTGCAGGGTAACAAGAGCAAAACTCCGTGTCAAAAAAATAAATAAATAAAATAAAATAAAAACAAAAAAACAAAAACAAAGCGCCTTGCCCTGGAGGGCTTAAGGTGGGGCAGATCCCTAGCTTTGGCTTGGGGAGTGGGAAGAGGGCACAGGTCTACTCTGGGAGAGGAGTGAGGGGGGAGATGGTGCTGTATGGCTTGTCAGAACTCGACTGAGGCAGGGACACACACACAAACACACCTGTACACAGCCACATGAACACATGCACACATACTCATGCACACACTCATTTACAGTCACATGTACACAGACTCACACCTGCAGATACACTTTCAACCACATGCACACACTCATGCATGCACAATCACATGCACAAGCACACACGTGCACACGTACACACATGTACACACATGCACATGATTGAATATACACACTAGCACACACATGCACACACAGTCGCACACTTATGCACACACTCACACATGCACACTTCTGCACAGGCATACCCCCATACACACCCACACAATCACACGCACACAATCACATGCACACACAATCATATGCACAAGCACACATACGCACACACACTTACAATCACATACACACATGCATGTACACAATCATGCACACACACATATGCACACTTATGCACAGGCACATAGCACATTGGCATATACATACATGCACACCCACAATCACATGCACATATATGTACACACACTCCACACACTTATTACACTCACACATGCACAAGACACACACATGCACACACCTCTTCATGCAATACACACTCACCTGCACACCTACACACAATCATATGCACACACAGAATTACACTCTCACAGACTCCACACATGAAGGCGACCCTGAGCGGTGTGTGGTGCGGGTGTGGGGTGGTGGGAGGCGAGGGGCAGGCTGGTGGCCAGAGCCTGGCTCTCCTCAGGTCCGTGTACCTCCATAACAACCAGCTGAGCAACGCTGGCCTGCCCCCCGACGCCTTCCGCGGCTCCGAGGCCATCACCACCCTCAGCCTCTCCAACAATCGGCTTAGCTACCTGCCGCCCAGCCTGCCGCCCTCGCTCGAGCGGCTCCATCTACAGGTAGCCCTGCTCTAGGTCCCACCGCGGGCCACACCCCCTTTACCTGTCCCCAGGGGTCCCCTCCAGTTCCTTGCTTTCCATCCTTCCAATTGCCCCTCAGAATTCCAGCAGTGGGAGTTATCTTTCTTTGAATAACTATTGGGAATCACTTTGAGTTCAAGGCGAGCTCCTGTCACTCCCTTACTCAAAAGCCTTCTGTGGCTCCCCGTTGCCCATAGCCCAGACTCAACTCTCATTCTCTTCTCCCTTCTCCAGAACAATCTCATCTCCAAGGTGCCCCGAGGAGCCCTGAGCCGCCAGACTCAACTCCGTGAGCTCTACCTCCAGCACAACCAGCTGACCGACAGCGGCCTGGATGCCACCACCTTCAGGTTCAGGCTGGTGGGGGCAGCAGGGGCTGAGAATTTACAGTCAGAGGTCCCAACCTTGAGTGCCCCTCCCCTGGATGGCACCTAAGCCACGGCCTCATCTGGTGAATGCCTGCTGTGTGCCAGACTCAGCTGAGCACTGGGCAGGTGTCCCTGTTCTCCACCACCCAGCAGTGACATCATAACTCTCACATGCATTTGCATTTTGGACCCAGGGCTGTACCCCAGTCACCCCCATAGCTGACCCTCAGGCTGGAATCTGCCTTCAGCACCCCAAGTTTACCTCCCACTCAGCTCGCTCAACACATCCCTCGCAAGTTGAAATCTCGAGCTTAAATCTGTCTCAGGCCCACTCCCCAGCCTCCCCGGTGAGATCTATCAGGCATCAGCTGGGCGTGGTGGCTCACACCTGTAATCCCAGCACTTTGGGAGGCCGAGGCAGGTGAATCACCTTAGGTCAGGTGTTCGAGACCACCCTGTCCAATATGGTGAAACCTCATCTCTACTAAAAATACAAAAATTAACTGGGTGTGGTGATGCATGCCTGTAATCCCAGCTACTTGGGAGGCTGAGGCAGGAGAATTGCTTGAACCCCGGAAGCAGAGGTTGCAATGAGCTGAGATCACGCCACTGCACTCCAACCTGGGCAACAAAGTGAGAGGTTCCATCTAAAAAAAGAGAAAAACAGAGATCTATCAGGCATCCCACTCTGAGTGCCCCACCTGACATCGCCCCTCTCTCCTACTAGCAAGCTGCATAGCCTTGAGTACCTGGATCTCTCCCATAACCAGCTGACCACAGTGCCCGCCGGCCTGCCCCGGACCCTGGCTATCCTGCACCTGGGCCGCAACCGCATCCGGCAGGTGGAGGCGGCTCGGCTGCACGGGGCGCGCGGTCTGCGCTATTTGCTGCTGCAGCACAATCAGCTGGGGAGCTCGGGGCTGCCCGCCGGGGCTCTGCGGCCGCTGCGGGGCCTGCACACGCTGCACCTCTATGGCAACGGGCTGGACCGTGTGCCCCCGGCACTGCCCCGCCGCCTGCAAGCCCTGGTGCTGCCCCACAACCGCGTGGCCGCGCTGGGCCCCCGCGACCTGGCCGCCACGCCGGGCCTGGCGGAGCTCAACCTGGCGTATAACCGTCTGGCCAGCGCCCGTGTGCACCGCCGGGCCTTCCGCCGGTTGCGCGCCCTGCGCAGCCTCGACCTGGCCGGGAATCAGCTAACCAGGCTGCCCATGGGCCTGCCCACCGGCCTGCGCACCCTGCGGCTGCAGCGCAACCAGCTGCGGATGCTGGAGCCCGAGCCTCTGGCCCGCCTGGACCAGCTGCGGGATCTCAACCTGGCGCACAACCGGCTTCGGGTCGGTGACATCGGGCCCGGCACCTGGCATGAGCTCCAAGCCCTCCAGGTCAGGCATGGGCCGGTTAGCCACACTGACTGTCCCGAGGGCCCTTCCCTCCCCCTTCCTGCCCCACCACGTTCCAAACATTCTAGTTAGGGGGGCAAAGCAATCAGAACAAGCAAACAGCAACAGTTGGGTTAGAAGGTGATGAGGAGGCCAGGTGAGGTGGCTGATTGGGTTAGAAGGTGATGAGGAGGCCAGGTGAGGTGGCTGATTGGGTTAGAAGGTGATGAGGAGGCCGGGTGAGGTAGCTGATGCCTGTAATCCCAACACTTTGGGAAACCAAGGCAGGAGAATTGCTTTAGGCTATGGGTTTGAGACCAGCCTGGGCAATATAGCAAGACCCTATCTCTACCAAAAAGCATAGCCAAGCGTGGTGGTGCATGCCTGTAGTCCCAGCTATTCAGGAGGCTGAGGCAGGAGGATCGCTTGAGCCCAGAAGTTTGAGGCTGCAATGAGCCGTGATCGGGCCACTGCCCTCCAGACTGGGCAACAGAGCAAGACCCTGTCTCTTGAAAAAAAAAAAGTGATGAGAGGTATGGTGCGATTCAGTAACTAACTCACTGAATCAAGTGGGGACCCGTCTGTCTGTGGCTTCTGGGAAGGGCCTTGGTTTATCTCTGCAGAGGGGAGGACTTTTGGCAATCATGGGGGGGTTGGGGGGGAAAGAAGGGCCGGGCCAGTATGAAGGGGGCAGGAGGGGACTCTCAAGCTCTCAAGGAGGGAGGCTGGCTGAGCTGGGTGGCCCAGGCCTGGACTGCCATGGCACCGTCTCTGACCCCCTGCCCCAGGTGCTGGACCTCAGCCACAACGAGCTGTCCTTTGTGCCCCCGGACCTACCTGAGGCCCTAGAGGAGCTGCACTTGGAGGGCAACCGAATCAGCCACGTGGGCCCTGAGGCCTTCCTCAGCACGCCTTGCCTGCGTGCCCTCTTCCTCAGGTGCCCCAAGGGTGTTGGGGCGGGCAGAGGTGGGCAGGGGAGGACCTGGGAGGGTCATGACCACCTCTCTGTACAGGGCCAACAGGCTTCACATGATGAGCATCTCGGCTGAGGCCTTCCTGGGGCTCCCAAATCTGCGCGTGGTGGACACGGCAGGGAACCCAGAGCAGGTCCTGATCCGGTTACCTCCCACTACCCGACGTGGGCCACGGGCAGGGGGCCCTGATCCTGGAGAGGCCCAGCAGAGCAGCCCAGACTCCTGGGGCTCCGCTGGGCTATGGACTGAGGAGACGGCGCCCGCAGGGGGCCCTCTGGCTCTCCTGGGCCTCCAGGGCTGGCCAAGGCACTGAGGCATGCAGCTGGCACACTCCAGGCTTGCAGACCCACAACCTACCCCAGACCCACAGCGCAGATGGACACAGCAACAATAAAGCCAACCCCTTCCAAACAGACTTGGCACAGACTGACGCCCTTCTGGGGGGCTGTCCATGGACTCCTCCCCATGACCAGTCCAGCTGGGGAAACTGAGGTTCTGGGATGCTAAGTAAGTCTGGACTGGACCCAGCCATGTGTGACTGCACAGATGTCCAAGGCTACCCGCTGAAAAAACAGTGGGTGACAGAGGGACCCTCACATGTATCCCCCACACAGCAGGTGTAGGAGTCAAATGCACCCTTCAAGGCAGGTGTGTGGTGTGGTACCCTCCTGTAACCCCAGCTACTCAGGAGCCGAGGCAGGAGGATCACATGACCCCAGGAGGCGGAGGCCGCAGTGAGCTGACTATACCACTGCACTCCAGCCTGGGTGTCAGAGGCAAACAGGTCTCTCAAAGAAAGCACCTTTCTTTCTTTTTCTTTTTCTTTTTTTTTTGAGACGGAGTTTCACTCTTGTTACCCAGGCTGGAGTGCAATGGCGCAATCGCGGCTCACCACAACCTCCGCCTCCTGGGTTCAAGCAATTCTCCTGTCTCAGCCTCCCGAGTAGCTGGGATTACAGGCACGCACCACCGTGCCCAGCTAATTTTTGTATTTTTAGTAGAGACGGGGTTTCACCATGTTGACCAGGATGGTCTCTTGACCTTGTGATCCACCCGCCTCGGCCTCCCAAAGTGCTGGGATTACAGGCGTGAGCCACCGCGCTGGGCAGAAAGCACCTTTCATAAGCACACTGCCCAGCCTGGTTCCCTGACAGGCACCTCCCCATCCACCTCCAGGGGAACTAGAGGGCGAGCGGGAAAACCTAGCCTGGCCACTGGAGGTCCACGCAAGAAACACACAGGACAGAGCTGGGTGCAGTGTGGCCCTGGCTATTTTATTCCATGTGCTGGCCCTGGGGTACCAGCTGGGCTGGGTCAGCGCCCCAGGGAGACAGGGGGGCCCGGCCAGCCCCAGCGGCTTCTTTGGGGTTGAGGCTGGGGAGGGAAAGGAATTAAAGTGCTTGCAGGGGCCCTTGGGGCTTGGTCCCAGCCACCCTCCCTGCTCTGGGGCAGGCCAGAGGGCGGACACCCCTGGGCTGTGCAAACAGGACTCTCTGGGGCCCACCCAGGCCTGGGTGAGGGGCACGCGCTGGCTGGTGGGCATCCTTCCCGACCCCTGCAGCCACAGAGGCTCTGGCTGGGCTGGGGGCCCGGAAGAGGGGTGAGTCCAGAGCCGATTGTCTGCTGATTGTCTGCGTGTCTGGTTCGTGGCTGCCGGCTCTTCCCGGTGCCGGGGCCCGCTGCCCGCTTTCTGGGGGCCCGCTGCCCGCTTTCTGGGGGCCGCCTGCCTCCTGGGCTTCTCACCTGCGGAGCCGCTGCAGCTGGGGGAGAGGCCACTGGGGTCAGGCGGGTGGCCACGACCACAGTGAGCCCCCAGCCACCCCCATCTCCTGAGCTGCTCACCTCACTCTCCACCAGATTCCGCCTGTAGAGCGCCTCCTTTGCGGCCTCCTGTGGGGGATGGGTGTTCAGCAGGTGGTCCCTGCAGGCCCCGCCCTGCCTGCCACCCAGCGCCCACCCAGCTCTCGCCCAGCTCACCCTGCTGCCATCATTGCCCAGGCGCCGGGCGGCCTCCGTGTAGAACTGCAGCTGCCGCTCCAGCTGGGCTACGTATTCTGAGAATGCTGAGGGGTTAGGGTGGGGCCTTGCTGCCCCCAACCCTCCCGGACTGTGCCCAACCCCGAGCCCCCCCATCAGGTGCCCTTCCCCCAGCAGCTGCCAATCCCAAGCCCCCTCCCACCAGGTGCCAATCCCAAGCCCCTCCCCACCAGGTACCCATCCCCAAGCCCCTCTCCTACCAGATACCCATCTCTAAGCCCCTCCCCCACCCGATGCCCATCCTTGAGCCTCTCCCCCACCTGATGCCTATCCCCAAGCCCTTCCCCCACAAGGTGCCCATTTCCAAGCCCCTTACCCACCAGATGCCCATCTCAGAACCCCTACCCCGTCGGATGCCCATGCCCCCCTGCTCCAGCTGTGCCCTCTGCCACTGGCTGCGTTGCATGATGTCCTGGTACTGCTGGGCCACTTCTGGGGGCACTGGCCGCCGCGCCTGCCTGAGGGCCAGGATCTGGAAGATACAGAGGGGCCTGTGAGGATCCTTCCTGGGCCTGCAGACTCCCCGGTCCTGCCCCATGGAGCCCGGTAGGATGGATACCCACCTTCCGCTCTAGACGCTCTTGGTCAAAGGCCAGCACACTGAGGCTATGCAGGGGCCTGGTTGATCTAAGGGGTGGAGGAAGGATAAGGGGCTGCAGAGATTCCCCCTGCCCAACCCTGTTAATTCAAAAGATGCACTGGGGATATGGTGGGAGGTAGGCAAGACCCACCCCGGTGTTGCTGATCCCAAAACCTAGTGGGGATGATGGCTGCACACCCAGGAAACTATGACACCTAGTGGTCAGGGAGGGCTTCCTGGAGGAGGTAACAGCCAAGTTGGGATCCAAAGAAGGAATTAGAGGTGGGCAGAGGAGCAGAGAGCAAGGATATGGGTAGGGGTGCTTAGGGGACTGGAACCCATAGAAGTCCAGAGGCCAGTGAAAGTCCAGAGGCCATGAACCACAGGAGGAGTGGGGAGAGAGAAGCCTGGATATATTGACAATGGTCAGATCACAAAAGGTCTTTAAGATCAAACCAAGGGGTTTAAACTGGATCCTCTGGAAAAGGGGTGCTAGGAAAGGTTTTAAAGCAGGGGAGGGACATGGTCCAATTTGTGCCTAGTGGGAATCTGTCTATGTGAGACTGAGAGGAAGAGGGTGTTCCCTCCAGCATGCCCTGGCCCAGATACCTACCTGTTCCCTGGCTCCCTTGAAGGGGCAGGAATAGGAGGGGCCTTCCCTTTGGGCCCAGCAACCTGCTTCAGAGGAGAGAACCAGTCATATGAGTCCTGGGCCTTTGAACCAAGCTTCCCTCCCTGAGGCTGCTGATGGAGGGGAAGGGGTCTCACTGTTGGCACAGCTGCTGGCACGGGGTCAATGACCAGCCACCTCTCTGTCGTCGTCTCCAACTGCTGGGCTGTCAGTGGCTCCCGAATCCGGACCATCACCTCCAGTCGCCCCCCTGTGGGCCGGCGACCATCCAGGACCTGGGTGGCAGTAAGGAGAAACTTACCCTGCTTCCTGTTGGAAGCAGGAAGCAGGAAGAGGCCCAGGGCCAGGAACAGGGAGAACAAGAATTGTTTCTAAAATATGAGCCCATGGTATGGCTGAAATGCCAGCTGATTGTAATGGAGTGGGGTGCTGAAAGTATTTAGGACTGGGCAGTAGGAAGGTCTGAGACTCTGAGGGGAGGGGCTGGGTCAACAGAGGGGGCTATTGGTTGGGGGCTCAAGGCAGGCAGCATGTGAATAATGTTACTGAGTAGCATGGCCATACTGGAGCATGCAGATGAATGTCCAGCTCTCACCTCAAGGATCTCCCGGACCTCACACGCTGTCTCCAGTGCATCCAGCTTCAGCTGGGCTGTCCCCAGCACCCGGTCATTCTTGAACAGCCCCCTGTGTGTATGTGTGTATAGGGGGGACAGGATGGTTGGTTGAGTGGAGCTCCCCTTGCCTGGAGCCCACCCAGCAGCTATGGCTCTCTCTAGCTCACCCCTTGTGAACCACTTCAAACTTGATGCCTTTGGTCTGGATGGCTCTTCGGAAGCCACGGTGGCTGCGGTTGATGCAGAGTTTGAACTGCTCCTTGAACTCTGCAGGGGGAAGCAGGGAGAGGGGGTTGGGTGGGGTCAGGCCATGGTCTTCTGTCCCTTCTGCTGCAAGGGAGTAGGGGTAGGGTTCTTCCAGCCGAGGCTCACCAGGGGAATCTGTGTTCTTGATCACACTGGTCTTGTCTTTCTGAGCTTCTTCCTATGACCAGAGAAGAGGCAGGAAATCTCAGGGGCCTGGGACTTGGCTTTGGCTTACTGAGGGCTGCAGCCCTGTCCCCTTAGCTCCCCACGTACCACGTTGGGATAGGGGAAGTCAAATCGAACAAAGACATCCAGATCACCAGGGGACAATCCTGTGGGCAAAACAAGGGTCAGAGCTGGGCAGAGAGGGGGTCCCCATAACCCTGACCCCTACCTACAGCCCCCTCACCTGGGGGTGTGGGCAAGTTGATGCCCTTCACGATGAAGAGGAGCATGTCGTTGCTGCTGAGGTCAGGGAAGATCCTTCCAGGCGGGCAGGCAGGCAGGTGGGCAGGGAAACAGGCACCTCAGTCCCACTGCCCGCCTGCCTTCTCTTCCCCCAGTGGGGGCAGGGAACAAACCCTATCCTGGCCTTTGGGGGTGTCTCAGCTCCTGGGCTCATTTTAGAATCAGACTAGAGTTCTCTGTTCAGGTCAGCAATGGATCACTTTTGGCCCTTTCATCAGTCTGTGCATATTTATTTGGTACCTACCATGTGCTAGGTACCCTAGCTGCTGGGTGACATTCCCTTCACTCAATAGTTCTTGAGTCCTACTAAGCACCAGTCTGTGCCCTAGCTGCTGGGAGATCTTCCCTTCATTTCCCAATATTTCTTGTATATCTTGAGTACCTACTACGTGCCAGCCAGTAGGTCCTTCATATATATATATATATAATTTTTTTTTTTTGAGACAGAGTTTTGCTCTTGTTACCCAGGCTGGAGTGCTATGGCATGATCTCGGCTCACCGCAACCTCCACCTCCTGGGTTCAGGCAATTCTCCTGCCTCAGCCTCCTGAGTAGCTGGGATCACAGGCATGCACCACCATGCCCAGCTAATTTTTTGTAATTTTAGTAGAGACAGGGTTTCACCATGTTGGCCAGGATGGTCTCGATCTCTTGACCTTGTGATCCACCCGCCTCGGCCTCCCAAAGTGCTGGGATTACAGGTGTAAGTCACCGCGCCTGGCCCTATATGTATATATTTTTTGAGACAGAGTCTTGCTCTGTCACTCACGCTGGCATGCAATGGCGCGACCTCAGCTCACTGCAAATTCCGCCTCCCAGGTTCAAGAGAGTCTCCTGC